CACACACACACACACACACACACACACACACACACACACACACACACAGAGAGAGTTAATAACTACCAACCAACTCACCTGCCCTGCATTTCAAACATCTCCCTCTCTGCTCGCATCAGCTTTTATGCAAAGCCGCGATGGGTCCACTAGATTGTTGCTTGAACTCTCCCTTTCCATGCACACGTGGACAGATACATTAAGAAAATGAAAAATGGGAAAAGAAGGATCCAAAGACAACTGTGCAAGATGTCTGCAGGCCCTGGAATTCAGGATCGTGTGCTGAGCAAGACAGCCCCAACTGCAGACGTGTGTGCAAGGGGTTGAGACCCAAATGAGGTGATTAATAGTTAGCTCACTTCTGTACACGTTGGTGGAATGGTGAGAATGACTGACAGAGATTCTCGACCTCACCCTTGTAGACAGCACCCTGATATGCTTCTTCAATTTCCAATGCTGAAAAAACACTAGTACAATATTGCACCGCAAAAGTAGAAGAAAGAAGATGATTTGGATGGGCGACCTGAAATCGAGCAATAATGAATGATCCAAACGTAAGTCTGAGATTCCATCAAACCTAGCATCTACGGCAAGAAACAATTAGTTCACTCTCATCACTCCACCCTGCAACCCAACATTACATCTTTTCCTCCTCCCTCCCTGGAAGTCAAGTGCCACCCATCAAGGTAATTATGCATTCAAATGGCCACTTAGCCCTTGATTCACAAAGCTCCACTACATTGTGGAACTATCGATGTCGGAGTGTCCGGAGGTGGGTATCTCATACTAAATCATCCTTGATTCCCTGAATGATGCCCTCTCCCTCTCCAACTGGTACTAACTCAAAGCATTGTTGTACAGGTGCCCTCACACACGCAGAACTCAGCATAGAAGCATGGAAAGAACCTCTGCCGTAGCTGCTAAGTATCTGCCATAGCTAACAAGTGACCACCGTGGCTAGTAGTAACTCCACCATAGCCATGAGGTCTCATCTCTCGTCCTTTCAGCCTCCACAGTGCCAGCATCATGAGACCAGGCCAAACAAGTAAACCAGATTGCCAGCGGCACTCTCTCCTTATCAGACTTCTCCTCTAGGCAATTACTGCCCTCTATGCCTTCCAACCGGCCTCAGGGCAAGATGATATCCCTGACGTTCAGTCTATACTTTTACCAGTCTCAGATTCGGACCAGGGCCCTCAGCCTCAAGAGCCGAGTTTCTTAACAGCTACAGCCATGACATGGTGTACAAAACAAAAGTGGATCCATGCCGGTCGTGATATCCACCCCAACCCTGCATGTCTGTAGTGTCCTTCAACTCACTCACACACACACACACACAACACCACGCAAAGGCATCCGCCACACAGGCAGTAGTCGCACACTCCGCTCCCATTCCGCACGACTGCTTATCAGTCTCCAACTTCCCTATGTGCAATAAGTAGCTTGCTGCTAACCTGTCCGAACCATACTTGCGGCGCATGCCGTGCGCGGCATCACGGCACGTGCGGCGCAAAGCGCAGAGCGCAGCCGGCGCGCGCACGGCATGCGGCGCATCGGCCAAAACAGGGGTCGTGGAAAAAAAAAAAAAGTTTGGAGGGGGGTGGGAGGCCCGGAGGGGTACCGGGGGAAATTGCCTCTGTGGGCGCGAAAATTTTTTTTCGGGCCGTGCAGAGGCCCGGTAAATTTTTTTGGGGGAGATCTGAGTAGTTCGTTTTCAAACTACTCAGGCCTCCCCCACGCCGCCGTTCGGCACCCCGGCACTTCACCGACCCACCAGTTGTGCCTTGTCTCCTTGGCCGCCGTCGTGTCGTCATTCGTCGTTGTCCTTCGAACACTTCACCATCCAATTACCTTTTTTTTTTTTTTTTGCCCTTGTTACGTTAGCGACAGGGCCTTCACTCCGCGCGGCACCTCCACCCCTCCCATCCTCCACGCGTCGACTGACTCGACTCGCTGCCCCCTCTTTCCTCCTTCCTTTCTCCCTCCTCCCTCCTCCCTCCTCCCTTTCTCCCTCCTCCTCTCTCCCTTCTTCCTCATCCATCTCTCCCTCCTCCTCCCTCCCTCGTCCTCCCTCCCTCTTCCTCTCCCCTCTTTCGTCCTCTATCTGTACCTCTCTCCTTCCTCACTTTCTCCCTCCTCCACGCAGCACCCCGCTTCTCCCTCCTTTTTCCTCCTCCCTTTCTCCCTCCTCCTTCCTCCCTTCTTCTTCGTCCATCTCCTCCCTTTCTCCCTCCTCCGTTCTCCCTTCTTCTTCATCCATCTGTCCCTCCTCCTTCCTCCCTCTCTCTCCATCCATCTGTCCTTGCGAACACTTCACCATCCAATCACCTTTTTTTTTTTTAGCTCTTGTTACGTTAGCGGCAGGGCCTTTCACTCCGCGCGACACCTCCACCCCTCCCATCGTGCACGCGTCAACTGACTCGACTCGCTGCCCCCTCTTTCCTCCTTTTCTCCCTCCCGCTTCCTCCTTTTCTCCCTCCTCTGCTCTCCCTTCTTCCTCGTCCATCTCTCCCTCCTCCTCCCTCCCTCCTCCTCCCTCCCTCCTCCTCTCCCTTCTTTCGTCATCTACCTCTACCTCTCTCCTTCCTCCCTCCTTTCTGCCTCCTCCTTCCTCCCTTTCTCCCTCCTCTACGCACCACCTCACTTCTCCCGCCTCTTTCGTCCTCTCTTTCTCCCTCCACATGTCGACTCACTACTCCCTCTTTACTCCTCCCTTTCTTTCTCCCTCCTCCTTCCTCCCTTCTTCTTCGTCCCTCTCTCCCTCCTCCCTTTCTCCCTCCTCCTTCCTCCCTTCTTCTTCGTCCCTCTCTCCCTCCTCCCTTTCTCCCTCCTCCTTCCTCCCTCCCTCTCCATCCATCTCTCCTTCTTCTAGTTGCCATCCGTTCCAAATTACAATCTCAATTTGGCATTTGCAGTTTTTTTTTTTCCCTACCCTTTCAGAATGTTGTTTCCACAATTCGATTTGCTCGTCGTTGCCCGCTGGAGTGTTGCATAGCCGAGGGGATTAGAGGAGAGTGGTGGATGTGGACGAGGGGAGAGGGTTTTCCTTCGAGGGGCTGACCACCATTTTCTGTTGTGGCCTCTCGGTGATGCAGGTGACAGCCGCGGCCGCTCTGCCGAAGCAGCTCATTGACGACATGAAGAGAGAGAGAGAGATGACAAGGAGGGAGGGCTGACCGCCATTTTTGTTTGTTGAAATGTCTAAGAATGTTTAAATTGAGAGAGAGAGAGAGAGAGAGAGAGAGAGAGAGAGAGAGAGAGAGAGAGAGAGAGAGAGAGAGGGAGGGAA